AAATTGGAAGGTATGTTTAGACATGCCCCAACTGGGAAAAAAAAACAAGGGGAAATGAAAGCTAAAAATGGTTCCCACGTGGAAAGGAAAACATAGGCAAAATGGCATCTTCAGGATTGCAGCTGCAGTTCTAGCCTAAACTACAAATAAACTCTATCACAGAACAGTTCCCAAAGGAAAGAAATTTATCTCTCAGACTTTGAAAAAAGGTCTAGATATAGCAAGTCTGGAACACAGAATCTGATTTAATGACTAGGTAACTGTAAGCTTTGGCACAAGAGTCAGGAGAAATACCCTAAACTGGCTTTGCCACTAAAGTATATCAACTGTACCTCAAGAGTGCTGATACGAGCACTGGCAACCACCTGAATGCTCTGTGGCACAGACAGGGAACTATGTAATGCCTGTTCCCAAAAACACAGCTCGAAGATGGTGCCACTCGGCCTCTTGCTTCAAACACAGGAGGCAACAGACAGAAACAGTAACCACTAATTTGCTAGACCCAGTCTCACAGATGCTTTCTCCACACAGTCAACATTTCCAGGTAGAAAATAAATTTCGGAATGAAGCAAAAAACCCCAGCATACTCTATTCTGAGTGCAAGGGGGTGAGCACATAATAATGTCTATATTGCCAGATGACTTCAAATACCAGTAAGTGGGAATTCTTCCTCTACCACATCCTCACACAGATGATGGGGTATCCCTCTCAGACTGTGAAGCATCAGATTTCAAAAGGAACCCATAGGAAATAGAGAATACTTCTTTGTTCAAGCATGCATTTCAGAGAAAAAAACCCTAATCCCTAAAAAGTCAGTAACAATGAAGCCTGCTGTCCCGATACAAGAGAGAAATGTTATTAATGCCCTTGGAATTTAGCCATCCATCCACTTCCCTTCACTTCCTTATTTCAGTTTTAAGCACAAGCCACCCTCTTCACCGCCCCCCCGAACAATGAGCCTTGAATTCTGGGTCGCTGTAGACTTGGGGGATTAATGTACTGCAAAAGCTCTTTTAGGCACCTAAGCCCAGTACAGGTTTAAAAGAATAGTATATATTTTTAAGCTTCTCCTACATAAAAACATGTACACAAAGAAGTCCCTGCATTTCCATCTTAGCCTTTTTCAGCAAATTCAGGAGGCTTTAAATAAAGCTCAGATTGTGACTGTAGCCCCTAAATCTTAGTTTTCTCCTTTTTTTTTTTTTTTTTTTTACTAGTTCTGAATGAAACATACACCTAAATAGCAAGTCTGCTTTCTAAGAACTAATCCAGACAGTCTTTTTCAGGCAGACATGCTCACTTTAGATTCACATCAGCCTCCAAGAAACTGGGCAACTACTACTAAATGCATGCTGAATTCTAGCTAAGACAACATTCTTGTCAGAATACCGGCTGTGTCAGAGTTAGCAATAAACCTGCATTCTCATAAGAAGCAAAAAAAAAAAAAAAAAAAAAAAAGTTAGGTGATTATTTGGAGACTAGACATATTTCTTATTAATTTATTTAGTGACTAAAGAGTAAAATCCATAGAGCATTTTACAAGAAAAAGTACTTTATGATGAAAAATTTTGTTCTGATATGCACAAACAACTTCACAGAAATCTATCACCCAACCTGTTCCTTCCTTATTTACTTGATTTCTCTCTTTGCTTCTACAACTGTACAGAGTGATGGCCTGAAGTAACACTGAAAGTCGTTGCATTAATTACTGTTTTTGCACCACTTCTTCCTCAAATTGGTCCCCACAGGATCTGAAATACAAATTGTTTTTCTTATTTCTAGAAGTGTTTCTTCACAATCACTTATTTTTCAAATTATAAGGGAAGTTTCCTGGAAACATCCATAGATCCCTTCAAGGTAGTGCCCAAAGCCCAGCATCTGCTGAGCAGATGGTGGTTTAGCACCTGTCAGAGCAACCACTGTCATCCATTGTCCCATCTGAATTTTATGGTGGGTTTTTTTTGTTGTTGTTGCTTTAAGTATCCTTTAGCTATGTATCCAGGATATGATTGGAGTCAAGTCAATAGCCCTGTTGCATTACAGTGCAACTAAAAAGCAGTTTAACATGAGTTACTGAATCAGGGAGTACTAATATTAGCTCTTTTGAAGAGTACAGTACACAACAATATTATATAGAAAGGTGATGGGGAAAATTACCATCTCCAAGACTTACTATTAAAATTCTTCACAGGTTTTTAAGACTGTTTAATGCAAGATACATTAAACACATGCAAGCTGGAAGGAATTTTCAAAAAACAAGAAAGCAGAACTACAAGAAGAAATCGAGCTGCTG